AGTAATATAGGGCATTCTAAGTCAATATACTGCAGTATTTCCTCTCAATCAGTAGAAAATATGGTTAATACCCGGTCATGCATGAAAAAAAAAATACCGTCATGTACCGTGAAACCGGTATAATTTTGAAAAATACCATGATATAAATTTTTGGTCATACCGCCCAGCACTACATCACTCTCAGTTTAGTTTTTTGTAAATAATGCAGAGATTAGTGATGTACCAAAATTTCGACAACCAAGAATATCTTGGAAAAAAAAATTTTTTTTGGAAGGCCAAATTTTTTTACTAAAACAGTATTGTTTATCAAGTGTTTCACTGATGACACCTTTTGATTGTGTCAGTGTTTATTTTGTGAACATTATAAAGATACACTACCAGTCAAAAGTTTTTGGACAGTAAGATTTCTACTGTATTTTTTTTTTTTATAATTCTATTCTGCTCACCAAGCCTGCATTTTTTTTAATCAAAAATTAAGCAAAAGCAGTATTATTATGAAATAGTTTTACTATTGAAAATAACTGCTTTAAAATGTAATTTATTCCTGTGATCAAAGCTGAATTTTCAGCATCATTACTCCAGTCTTCAGTGTCACATGATCCTTCAGAAATCATTCTAATATGCTGATTTGCTTATTATTTGCTTATATTATAAAAATGAAAACATTTATTTAGCAAGTATGCATTAAATTGATCAAAAGTGATGATCAAGACATTAATAATGTTACAAAATATTTCTATTTCAGATCAATGCGGTTCTTCTGAAATTTCTATTCATCAAAGAAACCTAAAAAAAATTCTACTCAGCTTTTTTTTCAACATAATAATAATAAAAAATATTTTTTGAGCAACAAATCAGAATATAAGAATGATTTCTGAAGGATCATGTGACTGGAGTAATGATGTAATGTAATAAATTACATTTTAAAATATATTCAAATAGAAAGCTGTTATTTTAAACAGTAAAAATATTTCACAATATTACTACAGGCTTGGTGAGCAGAAGAGAATTCTTTAAAAAATCTTTGACTGGCATACAAGTAAACATGTCAGCACTTCACCTTGACCAAAAATAACTCTAAAGTAGCAATATATGAAATTTGTTCAGCAGAAATATCAAGGCAGCTTGTTTGCTGAAGAACTACGACTGGTTTAACACGTCTCTTTGAACAGTATACGGAGTTAAATTACCAGAATATAATTAGAGAGACTTTCTCGGTTTCCTGCTAAATGAACATTTTTAATTCGGTTTTGGTGTCTCTGTAATAAATTCTTTCAAGTCAAAAAATTCATTTCAAAAGATCATCACTAACCGAGACCATAAAAATGTACACATTTTATGTAAATACAATAAAGAATATGGAATGATATTTTCTCTGGCCAACTGCTTATCACTGCAAAAAGTGAAACGTCACACAAACGCACCCTCCTGCAGTGGTCAAAGGCATTGCTGGTGAAGTCACTGAAAACAAACAGGGACTTGTCATTGTGGTCCAGCTTTAGTGTGGCTTCCTCATCCAGCGTCTGCACATATTTCTCTGACTGCAGTTCCACTATTGCCTGAAATTATTATATAAACAAAAGACATCAAGTAGTACGGTAGTATTAAGGTTCAAAGGATATTATAAGATATAAGAAGCATTTAATGACAGATGTTAACAAGAATGACACATTATGATCACCTTATAGGCCTGGAGAGCCAGATCACTCTTTTGTCCATTGCGTTCAACAAATTTCACAATGTATGCCTCCTTGTTGTCTTTTGACATGGTGGCATATAATCTACATCCTGTGGAAACAAACGTGCATGGATTTAATATCATCATTAAACAATGTAAACATCTGCTAATCATTAGTATCCCGTTCTCTCATAGTGTTATTCTGTAATGTAATACCATCATGTATATAGGCCTGTTGCAATAATCAATATATCGACTTATCGCGCAATATATGTACATGACCTCAATCATTTTTGGTGATGCAATATATCGCCCATTATATTTACTGAAAAATTAATGTCACCGTGTTTTTTACATTCCACTTGCGCCAGTTTCTTCTGCAGCTTCTCGTACATAACGTGGTGTAGTCATGAGATACTAGTTCAAAGCTTCTAAACTAAGTTTCATCTGAAGATATGTGTCTTTGTGCATACAGACATCTGAAGTGAAGTGACATGTGGCCAAGTATGGTTACCCACACTAGGAATTAGTGCTCCGCATTTATCCCATCCTAAGTGCACATACACAGCAGTGAACAGTTGTTGCTAGGGAGTTCTGGGCTGTTGCTAGGGTGTAGCTAGGAAGTTCACGGTTGTAACTAGGGTTCGACTTCCATAAATTGCTTGAACTGATAAAATGTTTATTGTGAATGCAGTGTCACTTCAAATCAAATGAGTGCATACAAAATCTTTTAATTAAATTTTAAATTAATTTTCAAATTTTAAATCACATTAAATTTGAATAATTCCTTGCATTTACTGGCAAACAAAGTTTGAAAAGTGACGTGACATGTGGCCAAGTATGGTTACCCACACTAGGAATTAGTGCTCCGCATTTATCCCATCCTAAGTGCACATACACAGCAGTGAACACACACACACCGTGAACACACACCCGGAGCAGTGGGCAGCCATTTATGCTGCGGCGCCCGGGGGAGCAGTTGGGGGTTCGGTGTCTTGCTCAAGTCGTGGTATTGAAGGGGGAGAGAGCCCCCCCCCCCCCCCACCTACAATCCCTGCCGGTACGAGACTCGAACCCGCAACCTACGAGTCCGACTCTCTCACCATTAGGCCACGACTTCCCATCTGACTGCTAAGTAGTGACTGTGTTTCTCAGCAATAGTGTGCACCCTTAATTTACAGAGAAAAGAAGGTCCGGGAAAAATCTGTAGATGGAAAAATCTCCATAAAAGTGCATTTTTCTTTTTTTTTTGTACTTGTTACTTTGCACTTTTTGTTAGAAAATGTTTGTTTACTATTTATTCAAGTTTTTTAAGGTATCTAATATTTTGATACTTAATTTCCATGATCTAAATATTCTTAAAAATCAAAAGTTTGTTGTCATTTGGAAGTGTGTAGGCCTTCTTGCATTATTATGGTGTTACACATTATGATTATATATTCAGTGGCATAAAATGGTGTTTAAAATGACAATAATATCGCTTATCGCAATTATTTCTGGGGCAATATATCGCACAACAAAAAGTTGTTATCGTGACATGCCTACATGTATATTCTATTTTGTATTAGGTTTAACAAAATAGCAATTTAATACAAAAATCGAACAAAAACTGGATGCTATTTAGGATTATGACACTAATAATTTCCAATCGACTTCTCATTGAAGGTTGTTTTGAGTATCTCATAAACAAGGCCAACAAGACATCAGAGTGTCAAACTGTCGCACAGCTCTAAAACCTTGTAATCTATTGCGTGTCTTTTTTTAATTTATTAATTTAAAACAACCTAAACACTCATAATAACAAATGAGGACTTACCGCGAGACAGAGCAGAATCTTGATTAGAGGATTGAAACTAGGAGATTTAGGATTAAAACTTTCAACTTCGTTTGTTTGTCATTTCATCACAGACACACATAGAAACATAACTTGTATAAAACAGCAGGATAATTAATCTGCTAATCTGTCAGTATTTTAATTTGAAAATCCGCGTGAAGCCGTTTTCCAGTCATTCGCGCCATCAGCTCTGAAAAAAACTTCCGCTTCACTTCTGTTTCTTTGGTGAAATGGGAGAAATTATTAAAATATATGACCGCCACCTACCGGACCGGAGAAGTGCAGTGTCAGAAATGAAAGAAATAGTTAAATTCAACTAATATTTTTACTCTAGGTATTTTTGGAAGTGAGAGGAAAACATGTAATTCTTTTCCAAAGACTAACAGCGTTTTTTAAGCTGTTACCATAGTTACATATTCGTGTCTTTTTTAAATTTATTAATTTAAAACAACCTAAACACTCATAATAACAAATGAGGACTTACCGCGAGACAGAGCAGAATCTTGATTAGAGGATTGAAACTAGGAGATTTAGGATTAAAACTTTCAACTTCGTTTGTTTGTCATTTCATCACAGACACACATAGAAACATAACTTGTATAAAACAGCAGGATAATTAATCTGCTAATCTGTCAGTATTTTAATTTGAAAATCCGCGTGAAGCCGTTTTCCAGTCATTCGCGCCATCAGCTCTGAAAAAAACTTCCGCTTCACTTCTGTTTCTTTGGTGAAATGGGAGAAATTATTAAAATATATGACCGCCACCTACCGGACCGGAGAAGTGCAGTGTCAGAAATGAAAGAAATAGTTAAATTCAACTAATATTTTTACTCTAGGTATTTTTGGAAGTGAGAGGAAAACATGTAATTATTTTCCAAAGACTAACAGCGTTTTTTAAGCTGTTACCATAGTTACATATTCCTTCCAGCGGCGCGCGATTCCTTCCAGCGGCGCGCGATTCGTAAGATGTTGTTCTTCTGAATCGAGTCTTTTCAGTTCATTGATTTAACTGGCTCACAAAACTGATTTCTTCACATGCAAAAATGCCTAGTATTGTAAATAAATTGTAGTATTGTTAAATGTAAATTATATTTAGCTTCTAAACGGCGACGAGTCACGGCTCTAACTTGGAAAAATTGTCGAACAAAACGTAATAAAAAGTAGTAACGTATGTGTTTACATGTGGTGAGATTTTTAATATATACATTTTTTTAAACCAGTTCATCATTCATCGAGGGAACTTTCGTTCCTGTGTACTTTGTGTTTCACTCCGGGCTCAATATCTAGACACACTCTTCGCCAGCTGCTTTCTAAGTCACGGCTCTAACTTGGAAAAATTGTCGAACAAAACGTAATAAAAAGTAGTAACGTATGTGTTTACATGTGGTGAGATTTTTAATATATATATATATATTTTTTTAAACCAGTTCATCATTCATCGAGGGAACTTTCGTTCCTGTGTACTTTGTGTTTCACTCCGGGCTCAATATCTAGACACACTCTTCGCCAGCTGCTTTCTAGCAGTGCGGACCGACGTGCATATTCATTTTCATCTTTGGCATGCTTTATTTTTCCCATCGGAAAATCATATCAGCTCGTGTTTATTACAATATAGGATTTTAAGAAAAAATGGCCACCGTCGAGGAGCTGAAGCTGCGAATCCGTGAGTTAGAAAATGAACTAATTAAATCCAAACAGAAGCAAAGTGATGCTGAACATCATCTCAGACCAAAGATTGATCAAATGAGTGCTGAAGTCGTAGACTCAAATCCATACAGGTGAGCAATTTGACGCTGCTATGTTTATTTATGATCACTGACTTGTTTTTGAACATATGGAAGGCTAAACCGGTGCGAAAGTCACTTTAATGTTATATTTAATATCTCGCAGTCGTCTGATGGCACTCAAAAGGATGGGCATAGTTCAAGACTACGAGGTAAACATGTGTATTTATTATTTTTATGAAACTTTTATATTGATAACTGCTTGCTCGTGTTCAGATGAGCACTATCCACCTGCTGTCATTCTCAGAAAATCCGCTCGTATGCTGTGGCAGTGGTGGGAGTTGGAGGAGTGGGGAGTGTCACTGCAGAAATGCTCACCAGATGTGGCATTGGTAAGGTAATGCACCTTTATCCTCATTCCTCAATATATAGATCTAGTAATATATAGGACTAATTAATCAAATATGCACTGATTGGCCGGTCTATGGTGTGCATTGTTAATGTTTTTTTAGTTAAACTTGCTGCATTCTTGTAGTGTGTGTTGCCGGTCGGAGTACAGGAGGGAAGCCAACAGCATAACCCCCAGAGACATGCCTCGGCTCTGCAGTAACAGACTGTCATGCCTCTTTTTGCTGTGTCTGTGATTTCTTCCCCGCAGTTGCTGCTGTTTGACTATGATAAGGTGGAGTTGGCCAACATGAACCGGCTCTTCTTCCAGCCACATCAGGCAGGGCTCAGTAAAGTTGAGGCTGCTGAACACACTCTTAGGTAAGGGGGAGGTTAATCGTCTTAACATATATAGCAAGGAATGGTCAGAGGTGACAGTCAAGACATTCATAGAGTTACAAAAATTCTAATATATGAGATTCAAATAAATATATATTTGTTTACTTTCTATTCATCAAAGAATCCTGAAAAAGTTTCCAAATATTGAGCAGCACAAGCATTTTCAACATTACTAATAATAAGAAGAAATGTTTCTTGAGCATCAAATCAGCATGAGATGTTTCTCGTCAAGTCTAAAAGAGATAAAAGCATGAATCATTATATCACTCTTTTAAAAAATTCTTAGAAAAATTGTATTTAACAACTAGGTTAATTTGCTTATGAAGCTTATTTATTTTATTTTTCTTTAGTGGAAATCCACTTCATCTTTCTCTGTTTATATTTTATTTTAACAGACTGTGATGTGGATTAAAAATGAGAAATTAAAAGGTTATTTTACAGCATTTTAGTTGATATTTCCCATTTTAATTCTGTTTTCCTGCATAGGAACATTAATCCAGATGTTGCTTTTGAGACCCACAATTACAACATTACCACAATGGACAACTTCACGCATTTCATGAACCGCATTAGGTGATCACTCTTTTTTTTAATGTCACAGTATGCTCAAAGTTTTCCTTATCATTTTCAATATGGCTGTAATAAACAATCTTGCTTTTGTGTTTTCAGTCACGGAGGACTTGAGGAGGGGAAGCCTGTGGATATGGTCCTCAGTTGTGTTGATAACTTTGAGGCTCGGATGGCCATTAATACTGTGAGTTTTTGGCATTAAACTGTAAGAACTATATTTTTTTTGTTCATTTTAATATATACAAATGTATGTTTATATATATATATATATATATATATATATATATATATATATATATATATATTTTATTTTTGCTATATTTTGAAA